GGAGGGCGTGAAGGGAGGGCCAGGAATGGGGAAAAAATAAGAACCAAGATGCATTATGTAAAGGTACAATTCCCAGTGAGAAATATAATTGTTTTGTATACCTACAATGTACCAATAAAAAAATTTAATTAAAAAATATAATAAAATAAAGTAACTTTTTAAAAATCCTCATGCTTTCAAAGGATAATGATCATGTTAAAAGATTAAATGTCATCCAAATCTTGTTTCCTCTTTTATTGGACTACTCAAAAAATTAAAAGACGCTTAAGCCCTTTCTTGTATATGTTTTACACTTGATCTTAGCCAAAAGACCCGAGAAGCAATTTTCTTGTATATATTTTAACATGGGTGGCTTTACTTATATTTATTACTCATACTTACAAGATGCTTAATAGTTGTGCTCATCATATTTTACTGGCCAAATATATTTGAAGCTTCTCAGAATGAAAAGTAAAAGATTTAAAAGAAAGAAAAATAATTCTACAAGCTTTTAAATTCAATTTTTACCTTTAAAAAAAAAGAGTGAAGCAGAGAATTATGAAATTTCCCTGTTGGACAAACACTGTGCCCTCGGGCTTGTAAGACATTTATCTCTTTTTGTTTAACTTGAGCTTCCCGAATTCATTCTAGCAGACGCTTCAGAGGCAACATCCTCAGGCGCACCACCGGGCCCTGCAGACCACAAGGAAGCATGCGCATTAAATTCAATCCGCATTAAATTCAATCGCCCTGTCTTACTGAAAGAGGCGCTCAGGTTTTGTGAGGCCAGAAACTTAAACCATCCAGGAGTAGACAGATTATTGTTTTTAAAAGTAACACAAAGTTACATACAAAATAAAATAGTTAGAAGGGCCTGGTGCAGGTGAGGACTCTGAGGCCTGAGCATGCGCCCAACGGTCTGCCTGCCCCGGACACCCCCACCCCCCAGTGTGGCCCTTTCCCTCACCTCACTCATGGCCCTATCAGTCTCCTCCACATTCCTTTCTCTTTCTGTCACATCTGTTTCCGTATATGTTTCTGTATTGACCTGTATATTGACCCTGGCTCCGGGATCTTTTAGCCTAAGAATGAGCCTCTCCTCTTGCTTCCTGCCATTTTAACCTAGCCTTTCTTCTTCAGGGACCACCACCCAGGGGCACCAGTGGCAGAGCGATTGTACATTTGTCTTTGCAAAACTTAAATTCACAGCGTATTGAGACCTGGGCCCTCTCTGACAGTGAAGATACAAACATTAGTAGACAAGTGTGAGCTGAATATTTTTCTTCTGTCTTGCTTGATATGATTGTAAAATAGGCTGCACGTCTAGGAGGCTGGCTCCCCCCAGAGCTGTACACAGCCATCCTGCTTACTTTTGCCTTCATTGCACAGGTTCTATTACTACAACACAATGGTGTTAAATGCACATTTACTACTTGTGAATAGCTCATGTTTACCAAAATAATTTTCATTTCTTATAGCCATTCTCATTCTTCTTACAAACTGAAGGTGGAAATCCTATGTATCAGTGACTCAGGTTCCTCTCCCCCTACCTGTTTTTCTGTTTTGTTTCAGGCATTGGTGAAGGTCAATGTGAAACTGAAGCCTATGCTAGATTCAGTGGCTGCAAACCGAAGTAAGTGGGAAGAGTTGCATCAGAAAAGACTGCTGGTCTCAGCCGCCGCTCCATCCTCAGCTAGCCTCATGGTGGCTGAAGTGGATGGAAACTAAACCTCTGTCTTCTCAGAGCTGCTGCAGAATGACTTCGGCCTGAAGGACCAGCTCCAACCCAGCCATGTCATCCTTTTGCTGTCATAGCTCAGACAGCCCTAAAGTCTCAGAATGTGGATGCCCTGAGAAGTGTGCCTGGGCTTCCAGCATGGAGTGGTCAGCAGCTGAGAGCTGGGCAGAAGCACAAAGGAGACGGAGCAGGGCACTTGGACCCTCAGCTGACCCTGATGATTGCACATGGGCTGAGACAAAGGCTTTCAGTAGAGGACAGTCAGGTCTGCCCAGTTTGAGTTGAGGGAAAATAGAACAGTGAAACCATCCTTATTGCTGCTTCATTTGGTATGTGCTCTTCAATTTGTTACAACCCAAACACAGCCTGATTCTGTAACCTTTCCTGGAGTGCTCTTTTGCTCCAGACTCTCCCAGAAATCCAGCTTTGTATTCCATAGAGGTATTTTAGTTTCAGTCCTACAGCTTCTTTTTTTTTTCTTTTAAAGATGAAGAAGATGTTTTTTGGGGGAGGAAAGAAAGGATGGACAAGAAAGAGGATAGATAGCTACCATGTGGTGGTATGGGGCATCAGAGCCGGGTACCTCACCCACAGCTTCTTGATATCAGATCAGAGCCTCCATAATTGCCTACCTAAAAGATAAAAGCTATACTATCCTTATAGATACCACCAATCCTAATGCCTCCCAGAAGTACAATGCAGCAGATGTGTTTGTCTGACTAATGTTTACATAAGATTTGTAACCTACAGTGAGATCATGGTCCTATTTTTCAGTTTTAAAATTCAACCTTCACTGTAGACCAAGCCTTCTCCCAGGAGAAATGGATTAATAGTCTTTAATTAAAGCAAAGAGGAAAGGAAAGCTATAGCCAGATTTATCCCAAGTGATCTAAGAACATCTAGGAACTATTTCCAACAATGAGAGGCATTTCACAGGACACACAACGGAGCATTGGAAACTGAACACTGACTAGCTTGAGTTCTACCAATGATGAGTTCTGGTATAAAATTTACTACCACTAACCAACTTAAAGCCAAATGCAGGAACCCTCAATTTTACATTGTGTAAGAAAGAATGCTTGAAAGATTAAGAAATAACAGTCTGAGCAGAAAGCTCTATATAGGAAGTCAGGCTTATAATAAATAAGAATAAACTCTATTGAATAGATGCAGTGACTAGAGTGCCTCTCACTTTACCTGAGAGGATCGGTATGTGTTATCCAAAGAATACTAGGCTAAAAGTGAGACTTTTACCATACCTTTGTCACTATTGATTGGATGACAGGGAATGAATCATTAAACTTTTCTGCATTTGTTTCCTTATTTGTCAAATGAGTTTTCAATGATTTTCAAACATGTGTTAATTTTAGAACTCTTTGTTGAAATAAATCCTTCAGTAAATCTCCGTGATATTAGACATCTAACAGCTGAAGCCCTCTGCTTGAAGCAGAGCTTGTAGATCTAGAGTCCCTATACATCTTCATCTCTGGTTACTTATCTGGTGGTCCACAAAGGGACTCTGAGGACTTTGAAAATCTTTGGACTAAATGAAACCTGAGATTTATTCAAGCTCTGAAAAATCTAAAATTTGCAAAACATTTTAGTTCTTATATTCACTGATCAGTATTAGTTATTAATGTTACCAATCAAATCTTAAAGAAATAGGGGCCAGGTTCCACAAGGACATTGTTTTCCTGGCACTTAGGAATCACTTGGGAAATGTTTGAAAAAGAAATTAGTAAAGGGGCTGGGGATTTAGCTCAGTGGCACCCCACCTTCCTTGAAAGTGCAAGGTCCTGAGTTCGATCCCCGGTCCAAAAAAAAAAAAAGAAAAGAAATTAGTAAAATTTAAAGTATGAAAATGGAAGTTAGGGAAGGAAGTAATCATAGAGAAGAAGTAAGTTTTGTTATGGCAAGAAACAAAGTAAATTACAAATCAGACAAAGAGATGGAATAATGGAAGAAGGAGAATAATGGAATAAGGAAAGATAGGAACTGAGGCAGGTGCTAAAGGGGACTGCCATAGGGAAGGTGAAAGTCAATCCAAACAAAGAATGGCACTTCCAACCAAAGGAATGAAGGTGTAGAATCTTCTCCTCAATTGCTTAAGACAAAGACAACTGAGCAGGAAGGGGTTCTACAAAAAAGAGAAGGAAGGAATGGGAGCCCTAAAAAATAATGTTCCTAGCCACCCTTTGCAGATGTCTCTGCAGGGAAGACTGGAGAAACTAGAGGAGAAAATGAGCGCAGGAAAAATTGCCCCTGCAGAGCAGGTAAAAGGAGGTTGTTCAGATTTATGGATTTTACTAAGCCAGTTTTCTGAATCACTCCGCTATAAAGGAAAATAGCTTCTGCAGGGCTGTCTCTCTTCCTTCAGGTGAGGAACAAAGGATGGGTGGAGTTAGGAGCAGACTGGTCTGTGAGCTCATCATGTGTCTGCAGCTGTGAGGCACTGCAGGTGTTTCTGGTACTGTGCCACATCATGTTTATATCACAAATGGGAATTGAAAATCAGTCCATGTCGAGGCAGAGATGAGCTTACATCTGTTAACCTCCCCAACAATAAATAAATAAATAGCCAAGACAAATGGAGGCTGCTCCATCTACTGCAAAATTTTAAAGCCCGTGCTTTATGATAAAACTGGACCTTGGGTCTGCGCGAGACGTCAGGCAGCTACAAGCACAGTAGCTACCCTGAACGTGGATGCTGCATATTGCTAAGGGGAACATAATTTATAGCACAAACCCTACAGCTTCCACTAAGGTTGAGTTTTCCTCTCATTTTCTTGCCTTTTTATTGGCTTCACTGCACGGTTGCCAATAGCAACATCCACTGGTAGCAAGGGGAGTTCAACACCATTGCAATCTGCCATACAGTGGAGCCCTGACAATGTCAACCATCAATCAAGTAGCTGTTTGTAATTGCCTCCATCTATTTCTCCTGTCTCGAGATATCCTTCCTATTGTGGGTCAAGATTCAGAAACTGCTGACTAATGCCATGATCTGTTCCTCCGTCACCATGAAGCAGTGAAAGTGAGGGTAGCAGCCTTCCTACTACCAACAGCCCTGGAGGTTGGAGGTTGAACTTCTGAAGGTTTGAGGTATTTTTAATCCCTTTATAAAATAATTTATAATTTCCAAGAACATGAGGTTATGTGTGGTTTGCCATATATTTTGCTTTTCCAAAATAAAGAAAGAGAAAATCACTCAGTCCTTATTATTAGTGTTAATTTCCTATTGAAGGAAGGCATTTGAAATGTGAGCCTTCTTGTAAAACCTCAAACTGACCAAATTAAGGATGCTTCCTGGGGAGCTCTTGACATTAAGAGTTGAAATGATAGGGCCGGGATTTAGCTCAGTGGTTTTGCTGCCTGCTACGCAAGTGCAAAGACCCGAGTTCAATCCCCGGTACCAGAAAAAGAAAAAAAAAAGAGTTGAAAAGACCTTATCCTACTTTTTCTATGAGATGTATTTTTTTCAGACAGGACATTTATTCATATTAGTCTATATTGCAAATAACACACGTTCGGCCTACAATACAGTCTATTCTGGCAGGTAAGAACAGGTTGGCATTCTGCAAAGGGCACCATGCAGCGTACAGTAGACTGCAACTCCATCTTGCCTGGCCACTGGCTGGCCCTGTAATCCTGGGATTCTCCAGGTCTCAGGTTTTCCATCTATTAAATAAAAGCACTGACATTTATTCCATTTCCACAACAAAGGACAAAGTTGTGTTTTGCTTTTTAAATTTTTTCTAAAGCATTTTATTTTTTTCTCCTCAAATAAAATACTACCAAACCTAAAGAGCTCATCTTCTCACTAAAGATAAAGAATTACAGGTGTGCAGTACATATAAAAACAATATATATATTTTTTTTTTCTTTAAATGTATCATATGGTCATTGATACATTTTGAAAATATATATTCTTTAATTTCACCCAGAACAATTTTAGATTATCTCATTTGTAGGTATCCCATTAATGATAGTCATTGATTTAGAAGTAAATTTATAAGATGAGTCAAAAAAGTTAACATTGTATGTGCATTTTCTCTGTTTCTAAAATCTGAGATGCCTAGGCACTTCCAGGTATTTTATATTTGCAGACATACTGGACTGAAAATAATCTTTACACGCTTTGTATTAGAGGAATGATAATATATCAATTCTCCTGGAATTTGGTTGCTTTTTCTGTGTATTAAATTTTATCATACTTTATTCATTTTCCTTAAGTCATTAAACAATCTGCTCAATTTACTCTGCAGTACAATTATTTTTAAATCTATTTCTAAAACAAAAAATAAAATAAAAAAAATAAAATCCATTTTTCCTGATAACTTTTATAAATTGCAGAAAGACAAAAAACAGTATCATCGGGCCGGGGATTTAGCTCAGTGGTTTCGCCACCTGCTGCACAAGCGCAAGGACCCGAGTTCGATCCCCGGTACCAAAAAAAAAAAAACCAAACAAAAACAGTATCATCTCCAGTAACAGCGTGAAACAATTTCCTTCAAGTGAGACAAAAATCTAAACATATTTGAGAAAGAGTTAAATATAAAGAAAGATGCTTTGGCTGGGGAAAAAAAGGCAAAAAGGATTCATTAAAGCAATGGAAACAAACCTAATTTGGGACCTTAAAAACTATGGCATTGTCCCTGTAGTGAAGTTTTATTGTTTGTCTCAGAATAACAGTCTCTGAAATTGTTATTCTGCCATGTGCTGTAAAGAACTCCCTAAATTCAAATGTACCAGGAATTTAAAGGTTAAATCTGGCTGCAAGGCCAAAACTTCGTAAGTTTCCTAAGTGAACAATAATAAAATAAAACACACAGATAGTGGAAATAAAATGAGGTATAATCTAGAGAATTTCGTGATGAGCATTTTGATTTAGCAATGCCGAATGTTGTCCATATCACTATCTTTCCCTTAGCTAATCATTTTGGGTTGTGCATTTACTTTAACTTTGAATATTCTTGCAGATTTGCTATATCTCTCAGCAGTACTAAAGATAAGTCATTCATCTGTGTAGCATATCTACACCAATGTCACTGAATATATACACTGGTACAGAAATATATTTATTAAGTAAATGAAATTTTTGCTGTGAAAAGTATGTTCTTTAAGACCATCATTTCTCTTTGTGCTCACTTTCTATGTACATATGTTTGTGTTAAAATCTTAATTTCTCTTTTTCTTTAGATTTAGATTAAATCATATTTAGATGAATTAAAAATAAGCATATAGTGTGGAAATAGGAAGCTAGGTTTTGTTGAGCCTCATTCCCTTGTGGGGGATATTGCTTTTACCATTTTATTTTGATGTACAATCATCTAAAAAGGATCCCCTACTGACTTGCTTCCTAATTATTATTGTTTTACACTAAACAAGGGAAATATGTCTTTAGTTGAGTTGTTTGAAGCCATTCCCTTTGTATTTCCCGGGCTGATGTTTCATTGTAAGAATATTACATTTTAGGCTGCTTGGCCATTTCACAAGCAACTAATCCATGATTTTGAAATAGACTGCTTTAAGAGACCTAAATATCTTTGTTTTTAATAAAATGCTTAATGTTTAATGAAAGCTCTGGAATAATCTTTATTTCTTTTGAGACAGCTGAAAGAAGGAAGTATGCCTCCAAGTACCTACAATTGAAATTCTGATCATGAACTTAGTCTTGATCTGTGAGGTTTGCCTCTCCGAGAGGGGCACTGGGACAACACTTTTAAAATGACAAAAGGTTCTTTGAATTACTTAAGTGTTTCTGGAGGTAGGAGACTCTGCAGCTAAAAGCTGGGTCCCTGTGTCCGTTACACATTGCTCAAATTTGCATGGGCAATTACACAGGGGGATTGCATCAATGCAGGGCTGGGAGCCACACCACGCTATACAATTACACAATGGCTTCGGTGCTTAAACTTTAAAATTCTTACA